AAGAGAGGAATCACAAAAAAAATTAAGAAATTGAAATCATGAAATTTTGCTTGAGAAGAAATAACTAGCCATAATCTAGTGTGTCACAATAGACGACAAGGTCCCCCTTTGCCTCAAGAGAAGGAAGAAGCCATGATTAGCCAATATATTCCTTTTTATTTATTTTTTACTCTTTCAAAAAAGCACACATTTGTTACCCTAAATCTCTCTAACAAAGAACCTAAAAATTAGATATAATATGAGAGGGATTCAAAGGTAGAAGTTAGTTATTATTTCTTTCTTAATTTTTGTGAACTTACTACTTTGACTTAGTTGATGTGATTTTAATGGCTGACACATGACCTTAATGACTTGGCAAAATTATGAATCAAATCCCCTTTTATATTGTGGGCTTGGAGCTTAAACAATGGGCCTTAGCTTACTTACCACATTCTTCAACACAATTCTATTTTTTGAAAAAATCGTGAAAAATTGTAATTCAAAATATAACTTAATTAAAATATTATTGGATAAGATAAAATATATTTAAAGATAAAAAGCTTTGGATGGTTACATTAGGATATAATATTAAAAGATAAAAATAAATTAATAAATATAAATCATCCAAAGTGTAAGTTTAGTCATACATTTTCTATATATTATTTCAACATAATTAAATATTTTATAATTCGAATATAAATATTTTATATGTGTATTTATATATTACCTTATTTATCACATAAAATTAGTGTATCAGCCACTTGTGGTTGCATTGTGGAATTCCTTGAGAAATTTTGAAATGAGAGACGAGGTTGCTAGTAGTATCAATTGTCCACAATGAAGAGGCAAGTCTCAATGCAATGTATAGTTCTCCTACTTTTATCCCTATTTAAGAGCCAAAAATATGGGAAAGATAGGGGTTATGGTGGAGCTCCTCATTAAGCATAATGGTATTCATGAATTGTGGCTGACCAAATTGAGGTCAATGGAAAAGTGCATTTGTGGCCTTGTTGTCCTTGCCCATTTTATAGTAGACTTCAAGGTTAAGACTCATTATTTTGTATAGTCATTTATGATATTCGAAGAACATATGCTGAAGCCCCAAAACATACTTTTAGCCTTTGTTGATTTTTAAAGCCAATGAATTTGCAACTAAAAAGATAGTATTATCACTTACAAATTACAAAGATAATTGTCATGAGTTTCCACTCATACACCATCTTCAGATGTCCAAATAAAGGAGAGGGCCTATTTTAAGAAGGCAATTGGTGGATGTTTCTACGTAAACACTACTCCAATAGTGAGACCTAACGTGACAACTCCTAGCTGAAATGATTGTGTGAAATTGAGGAGTCAATAAGGGTATGTTGTTGAGTGTTAGTTTTAGGTGCTGAAAAGTGTTGGCTACCTCCTTGCTCTATTAGATGGTGTCTTTCTTCAATGGCTGGTTCAAGGGCCACATGATGGAGCTCTAGCTTGCAATGAGCCTTCAATAATATCCTATGAGGTCGAGAAATCTATAGAGCTTTCGGAGGTTGATGGACATCTTCCACACTACCATTATCGAACTAAAACACTCTTCACAAATATTAAGTACCCCAAGTAAATGAGCTTTGTCTAAGACACATTTTATTGGGTTGATGTTGAGTTGGTGCTTGTGGAAAAGGGGGAAGACTTGAAACATGCACTACTGATATAATTCTTCGTTTGTGCTATAAACTAGGATGTCATCAAAGAAGATAAGAATGAATTTTCAAAGGACAATTAAAAAATTAATTTATGGGTGCCTAGAATGTTGCCGACAAGTTGGGTAGGCTAACATTATGAAGAACTCATTGTGTCCTTCGTGAATCATGAAAAATGTCTTTGGGACATCCTTTGATTTGATCCTTTTTTTTGATAATAGATAGATCTAAGATTCAGTCTCACAAAGATGGTGGTGTCATTAACTCATCTAGTAGTTTTTTGACAATTTGAATTAGAAATTTGTTAGGGTTGGTCACTCAGTTCATTGCCTTATAATCAACATAGAAACGCCAGCTTCCATCCTTTTTTCAGACCAACAAAGCTGGCCTTGCATATGAGCTATGAGAGTTTGTATTACATATGTTGTCAACATTTCTTAGACCATCTTCTCAATTTCTATCATAAGGAAGTGGGGGTACTTGAAAGGCCATATTTTGATGGGTCGAGTGCCCCCTACCAGCTGAACGGAGTGGTTGATACCGTGGAGGGGATGTAGACCTTCCCTAGAATGAAATACTTTTTGGTATTATTACTATAGGAGGTTTTGGACATGGGCATCTTTGATTGGATTCTCCTCTTTCTTCCTAATTTGGAATAGTTTGACCATCAAGGTCCTTGACTTGTAAATTATGATTTGTTCATTGAGTCTGATGCCAACATAGTAAAGAGGAGCGTCTACATGTAGGATGATATGACAATCATTAATGATGGTAGATAGGGTCTAATTCACAAAATCAAGTTTAAACTGCCATAGGATACTTAGGCATTTCAGCTTGAACATGAGATCCACAATCATTAGTAAAAGCACCATAAATTTTGTGGACATTTAGAGCTTGTAGTTCAATATAAACATTCTGAAAAGTTAAAGCTCCTTGTAATTTATCTGTTGTCCCTTTGACAAGTTGGAAATGAGAGATGACTAATAATGGAAGCTCGAGCTTACCCACAATCATTGGTAAGATGAAATTGTGGGAGGTCCTTGTGTCTACCAAAATTGTAGTTAGATATTTGCCTATCCTTCTGTGGAACTTGAAAGCTTGAATAGAGGATCATTAATTCAATGCATTGACTTTGAGGTTGAAATCATCATCTTCACAGAGTTAATGTTGATTTATGTGGCTTCAATTTTATCATAGCTCTATCTGAGCTTCCTCTTAGATGACAAAGACTTGGAGTTCAACAATGATTGCTCAAGGAGTATCTTTCGTTACAAGAGAGACAAAGCTCATGAGCATGTTAGGTATGGACATCTATTAGAGTAAGTTGGAGTTATCTGCTGCCTTTGGTAGACAGCTCTTCTAGAGCCATATTAGACCCCCATCCTACACCACTGAGATTTCTTGAGGAGTATACTTAGGGAATGATCGGCATCAAAGATTGTAACCAAGGTAGAACCTTTAGGTGTGGAGGAATCATGACTTCCACCCATTACAGTTGATTCCTTTAATGCCATATGTTTGACTTCAACATTTTGAGCTGTCCTCATCATTGCCTTGAGTCCCATTGGTTCAAGCATAGCCACCTCAACTTGAATTTCTCACTTCAGCCCATTGAGGGGGGTATTCTCAAGAACTTGTTTAGTGGGCTGGCTAATTGTGATGATCAACTCAAACTCCTCTTAGAATTTTACAAAGACTCTATATTTGATATCCAAGAACTCATAATAAAGAGAGCTCGTTTGGCTGTAATTGAAATGCTCCAAGAGCTGGCATCAACGGTCTTTCTAGTTACATAAAGGTTCTTAAATTTTGGTTGATTTGAATCATGCAAGTCCCTTAACCTCCAAACTGATACAAGTTGTTGACAATATAATTATGCTTGGAAAATCTAGCCTCCTGGGTTCTAGCCATCAGACACATGCATCTTGAGCCTATGCCCACCATGCCACAGGTCTGAGGGGAAGGTGTAGTATTGCATGGTTGTAGTGATCTAGTTGCTTGTTGACCTAGTTGTCACCTCTAGTTTGCAGAGATCTAGTTGACTATTGCTCGACTCTCTCGGAAACTATCTGCTCTTCTTTTCCTAGTGAGGACGTCTTTTGGAGCCTTATGTTGCCATAAGTCATTGAGGGCACCAACGATTAGTCCAACTGTTGTCTAAGACCCATGGCTTCTTCTAGAGTGCATTGACTTCTCTTTGTAGTGATACCGTGCTCCGTTGGAGGTTGATGTTAACCTCTCAGATGTCCGGCTCTTTCTCAAGGAGGTCCATCTTATGGTTGCAGGTTTTTGACGACATGACTCTAGTGTCTCTGATACGACTATGATGGAGCCCAACAAAAAGGGGAAGGGAATGCCCAAGATACAGAGAAATAACCTTAGATCATTCCTCAATGTGGAACATGTCGAGATGAAATATTGAAGTCTCTGAAGACACCAGTGTAGAAGGTAATAGAAGATGACAAAGATGGAAGTAAGTTTGGTGCAAGGACCAAAGAAGGGGAGCTCACAATCTACACTAGATAATGTTCGACTTAGATATGGTCAATCTCCTTTTTCTTGGCTACTTCTTTGTCAGGCCCTATCTTTCATCAGGCCTTTTTCTTTTTAGCCACCACTTTGCAAGATTGATAGTGGCATCTTCTTTTGATGGTTATTAGTGCACAATCTTTTATCGCTGATGGGTTGGTCAGGCTCACAGCAGTTAGCAGTGGTTAAGCCTTTAGGTTCTCTGGCGGAGGTGATGTCCCGAGCACACTGGTGTCTGATCAGATAGGTTAAAATTAAACAAAAGGATTTACTTTTGAATCCCTAAAAATGATAATGAGATCAGTAAGAAAAATATACCAGAGTCCATTTAGATTTGAACTTGGGGTTTTGGCCTATTGGATCAGCACAAATGGAGTTGTTAGAAATGTACCTCCTAGAGTAAGTCTAACAAAATATGTGATCTAAGAAGCTAACCCCTTATTTAGAGGTAAGATATGGTTTGACTCTTGGCGTCCTTTTTCAATTTTGTACATCGTAAAATTAGAATATGGCTTGATCTCTGCACATATTTAACCCCCCGTACTTCTGAGAAATGCTCTTATTAATCCTTAATGAATCACTTTAGTAAAAATTAACTTAACATAGACTCATAATATATAATTTATGTATATTTAACCATATTGAGATCAAATCAAACAAGCACCACTTCAAGCTTTGTCTTCGGTCGTAACCTCACAGATCTGCAAATACGTTGTAAGTTTTGGAGTGGAGGACTCATGAATCTGAGGGCCATATTGAGATCAAATCAAACAAGCACCACTTCAAGCTTTGTCTTCGGTCGTAGCCTCACAGATCTGCAAATACGTTGTAAGTTTTGGAGTGGAGGACGATGAATCTGAGGGCCGCCACTGCGGAAGCGACAGCAAGGCAGCTGAAGCCGACGACGTTCAACCAGTGCCATGCACGTTGCGGCACTGAGATCTTGCTTTTCTTCGCCGTCAGATACATGTGGTTGGCCAGGACGAAGGTGACGGGGAAGCTGCAGAAGGCGCCGATGAGGCTCATGAAATCCCCCAGGAACGGCAGCAGGGCGGCCACCAGCGTGTTTATGGCCAGGTAGCCTCCTCTCACGCCCACTCTGAACAAGAGACTGTGGAAAGAAAAGGCGTTGCCTTTGTCCATCCCGTACCTCGTGTCGATGTACTCGTACATTGGGCTGGCGAAGATCTGCGTACAGTTCAGAGCAAGATGCTGAGCTACAGATTAAATTTCGAAAAACCGAGGCCGATATTGAAGAGGAGAGGAGAGGTACGTGGAGGGAGACGATTGTCTGAAGAAATGCGGCGATGTTAGCCAGCGTCAGGACCCAGACCGGGCCGTTGACGCTGTTGAGGAGATAGATCGTTGTCGAAGACCCGTATGCCCAGTAGCCCGTGAAGGCGACGGCGTACAGAGGCAACATGCCGGCAGTGAACTGAAGCCGCAACGCCTTCTCCATGTTCCTGATAGCAGGAGGCCTCAGGGTGGCCTGCGTGTGAAAGAACCAGATGATTGGTGAAAACGCGGTGAGTGCACTATATGTAGATCATAGATGGGGGAGCTTCGTTCGGAACCTGTATCTCCGGCAGAATGCCTGTGTTGCCGAGGGAGACGAGGGTGCCCATGGAACCGATGATGCCGAAGATCCTGTTCATCTTTGATCCCGGGATGCTGTAGTCCCGGGCCGAGGCGTTGGTTCCTGCAGCAGAAACAGAAGCTAGGGCTTTTCACGGGGTGGGGGGGTGGAATTGAGGAGTGATCATAACCAGACCAACAAAAAACATGGGAGCGGGCATGGTGGTTACCGTCTTTAATTGATAGCACGAGTGCCGCGATTACGTAGATGAGAGTGAAGAACGTGGAAAAGCCCAGCCAGATTCTAAGAGCTGACAAATGAGGAATCCCGAAAGCGAATAGAGCGCTGACGACACCAGCAATCGCAATGCAGTACGGAAGCTTCAAGGCTCCATCGTCGCGGTAGAGAACATATACTGCCTGCGCCGCGAAGAAAATTTCCAGAAGTTTTAAGATAGAGATAATAAACAAGGTAATAAAGCTGATTGCGGAAAAATATCCTCTGAAGAAAAGCATTTGATTCTCCATAGAGGGCATTGATTAGCCCAGGTCAAACGTAAAAGTGATGGCTGAAGGATTTTCCGTTCCCTAAGATAGGGGGAATCATTGTTTTCAGGTTAAGAGGAAGAGACGGAGAGAGCTTATATGCAGCGACCAGAAATGCAATGTTCTATAATAAAATGAGAAAAATGCACGAAGAGAGCTAACATAGAGGGTCGGCAACTAATAAAATATGGAAGGACGTTTGAGTGAATATTTTTTGGTCAAGAGGCTATATAAACAGACCCTAGGATAGTGACCTTCTAAAATATTAATAAGAAGAAACCCTAGGATTGGCCGATCCACTGAAACGTCAGTGGTGGAAAAATGTGGTGTATTTACTCACTCAAAGGGATAACGTGTATAGCCGTGTAACAAGTAGTCTTTCATCAAAACACATGGATCGGCCAATCAGGGAAAGTCAGACAAAATGGATGTGGACAAACACTATGCAAATAAATGAAATACAAGGGCACTTTGATCGACAAAAAAACTATATTAAAAAGAAGGATTTTCGTGTTTACTGCATAAAAATGAAGATCAATGGATTAAAAGTAAACTGGATCATATACGTGTGAAAAACATCACATCAAACCTTTAAAGCTTGTCCAGCCAAGATCAGGTATCCAGTGTTGAACATAAAAAGATTTAGGAATTGCAGCGCCCACGTAATGAAATACATTCTCTTGCCTGTACTCAATAAGAAGTAAAATTCGTATGTAAATTAAATGCTGGCTCGGGAGAAAAAAAATAAAATTGGGGCAAAGATGGATGCTCAGAATCTTTTTTGAATAATGTCATAATAAAAATAAAGTTAAATAAATTATTTTCACATGTGATGGTGTGAAATACGTCTGGAGATTGGAAAGAGTACTTACCATAGATGTGGCCAGCCAAGTCTCTGTACCTGATATGCCTCTTTCCCCCGACCTCGTGAAGGCGAGCAATCAGAGTGTTTGCATACAGTGAAATAGCTCCTGTTAAAATTAGACCCACCGTGCCGCCAGCCCAACCTAAAGGAACCATGATTGACCCAGAATACCCCAACACATAGGCGCTATTCGTACCAGTGATGAGTACAAACCCTGCTTGATACCAGGGATCTACAAAATTCATAGAACAGTTGTAAAGTTAGATAGATTGGAGTAGATGTCAAGGGACATGGAAGATATCCGAAAACAAAACCAAGTGAAAGAAATGATCAGATGAGATTGGTGCAAATGTTGAATGTAGTGATTATCCCTGGCTAAATGTCTGATCTAGTTATATAAACCGATTTATTTATTTTTGTGTCTGCGTCATATGTAGAACAATCATGCAGTAAAAACGTATGAACATAAAAAAAATGTTAAAAAACCCGTGAAGTGATTAAAATACTTTTGTGGTTACTACTGACGTAGAATTAAGACATTCGTGAGGGAAATATGCGACAGTGGATTGATTATCACAGGCGTCAGAGAGGAGTGAGACGGAAACAACACCAGAACAGCAATATCGATAACAAAGCATGCCATTATTTCACTGACCTCTGAAGAATAAAGTCAAAACTCGAGTCAACGACGATAGAACTGGACGCTATGCATCACTGATTCCTCGTTCGTATTTACACAGATAGCAGGACAGAACGTCGAAGGAGCAAGGTTGAATTCTCACCTTGGCTAATCTTGTGAGCGGTGTCCTTGGACACCACCAATCCTTCGCCCCCGTCGTTCCCTCTCTTCTCCACATCTCCCACGTCCCCCATCGCAACCGAGCCGCCGCTCGCTCAATCCACCAGCAGCCGCTCAGAGAATCCGGCGGCGGCGAAGGTTCTCACTGGGAACCGTTCTCCAGCCACTAGCCTGATGCTTCAGTCCCGTCAGCTCCCCATCGAGTTTTTTTATATAAACGGCGCCAAAGCGCCGCAATGAGGATGTGCGTCCGTCGGATCACGAGAATCAACGGTACCTCTCGTAAGAGACTACGTAAAGTCCCACTTGCAGTCTTCCAGCGCTGACGAGCGGCCGGGGCGGCTACGGGACCCACTTTCGAGCGCAGAAAGATCCCCCGGTTAGTTTTTCATCACTTTCGGTGATGAAAAAATACCATTTTATTGGATCTTTTGTCACACAATCAAGGAGGTGCCTCCTCTCTCTCTATCTCTCGTTCACGGTTTCAGGTCACAAATTATCGTCGAATACTCATCAGTTTTGGTTGGAATCTCCATCAAACGTGCCTCGTTCTCAACTAATAGCGGCCCACTCATGTCGCAGAATACTCTCTCTCTCTCTCTCTCTCTCTCTCTCTGTCTCTCTCTCTATACTTCTATGTTGCTTGTAGCGCCAATGCCACCCGATCTCGGCATTTGTTAAATCTCACCCTTGGAAGCTGATCTGACGACAATGGCCAACTCACACGTGAAGCACGGGTCGACTTATTCATCCATATTTTTCATTTCGAATTTTATTCGACGGATGAGCTGCTCCGCATGACATGCTACGTCTTTTATTCTATTCCCTTTCCCCTTCATTTCCATGAGACCTTATGGCGTATTCTCTTCGTGCCGTCAACATTTTGATATAAAAATGTTTTTTTATCATTCAACATTATGGATGAACAATTTTTTATTTTAATGACAAGCACGGCTGTTTTGTCATTTTTAAATTATAGTTTTCACTGATCGATGTCGGTGACGATTTATGAGCTCAAACAGTAAACTTGAGAGCGACAGAGAGAGAAAGAAAGCGAGAGCGAGAGAGAGAGGAGGCAGATCGTCAATGGGGTGACGATGCCAGACGTCGACTTCACGCCGGCAACATCTAGACGATCCGAGATCTGATAAAATGGTAATTTTTTCATCATTCACCGAAGTCAAATAGTTATTATCATAATTGCAAGGTTCTTCATTCTGTAATCTAAAAAAATATCATTTCAGACTTTATATGTCGGCGATAATTTGCGAGCAGAAACGTAAGCTAGAGAGAGAGAGAGAGAGTTCTCACCTGTAGCTCACATCCAATGCGGAGCTTCGACAGCGACCTTTACGCACGAACAGGGAGAGTAGGGATCTGCTAGGGTAGAGATGAGCTAATCGTACGAGAAGAAGAAATCAGAGAGAAGGGGAGCTTATCGTCGTTCGCTTTTTTCCCCCGTTGTCCGGCGCTCATCCTGGCCGTCCACGTTTTCAGATTCAAAACAATTTGAATCCCCCTAGATCTCCGTCTACTTTTTGCTCCGTGCTCTCCCCTCTCCTCCACTCCCAAATTCTGGTCCTAACCGGCGGCCAGTCTCTCTCCTGGTCCTCCTCTTGGAATCTTCTGCTCTTGGGCCTATAGTCATTGCGAAGATCCGTGAGATACTCGACATCCAGGGCGGGCAATGCGGGAACCAGATCAGGGTGAAGTTCTGCGAGATTGTTTACGTCGAGCACGGCATCAACGCCATAGGGAGCGTACACTAGTGACAACGATCTTCAGCTCAAGCGAAAAAACGTATACTACAATGAAAGCTTTAGCGGTCGGTCTGTTCCCAAAGCAGTGATCGTAGATCTAAAGCATGGAATTATGAACAATGTTGGGTCAGGGACATATGGTTAAATCTTTTGCTTGGACAACTTCATGTTTGGGCAGTCCAAAGTTGGGAACAATTGGGTTAAGGGTCACTACACAGAAGGTGTTGAACTTACTATAGTAAAAATATATAAACGCATGATCACAATAACAATAAAAATTTAAAAAATCACTAAGTTATGAGAAATTTAAATGAGAACAAGCCTTTCACCAAAACAACTTCAATCTATGTCTCAATGCCCTTGAGATAACCCACACATTATTGGGCCAACAATAGACTTTTCTCTTCTTTTATAAGGGTTTCACTTGTAATAGAAAAAATAATAGAACCCAAAAAAAGGTAAGGAGATTTGATGGAGAGACTAAAAAATCAAATGAGAGGAGAAAGATCTCGAGAAGAAAAAATATTTAATTTGTTGTCATCTAAAAAGAGAAAGAAGAATCATTTTTATAGAAAAGGGGAGAAGATAACTACCCCTTAAAAAAAGGGGGCATTCATGACCTATGTGGATAGGTGACGTGACTCAGTCGTTGGTGACGTGACTCAGTCGTTATATATTAAATCACGCAAATCAAAAATTTATAAAACTAGAAAATATGAATTTTCAGATATTTAGAAGTATTTCTAAATAAATATATCAATTATAATTCAATAAAGCTTCCAAAAATAGCGGTAATTTTTCAAGTTGATCATAAGGATGTAATATAATATCTGATAATTATTCAGAATTTTTCTCAATAAATAAGATTTTCTATAAATTTTATATTAGAAAATAAAAAGGAAATATATTTAAAATTCACGAAAAAGGGAAATAAGGGTGCGGACGTCAGGATGACGTCAACATCTGGCGAATATGAATTGGGCGGAAATAGAGTTCCGCCTGGTGATTCTTACGTAAGTGATTACAGATGATTTAATTGATCAAATTAAGATATGTAAAAGTCAGAAGAATCATAATATAACAAAGTATATTTTAGTAAATTAAAATCACAAAAACTATCACTAAATGAAGTGTAAAGTAAGTCAAAAGTAGGAAAACAGAGTTCCGACATTGCGACAGTGATGCGTCGGTGATACACCGGAATCCTGAGTGTTCGGGAAGATCGTCGTGTAGTGTCCATGGCCTCGAAGATTCTCCTTATACAAAGACGACGTGGGCAATCTCTAGATCTCCTTGCGAAGTCTAGAGATTAATGAAATGAGTCGTCGAATCATCTCTGGCAGTTGTCACTCGGCGGAGCGAAAAAACAACGACTTTGTGGCTCTCTGGCGGCTGTCACCTGATGGAGAGGAGCTGGATGGAGGTGGGACGCGTGTTAGGGAGCTTCATCCTCAGGTCCGTGCAGCAAGAGGAGGCTCTTCATCACATTTAGTACGCTCTTAGGAGGTGGCGACTCGTCTCTTGGTGGATCGTCCTCTTCCCGACGACGGCTTGTTCGTCAATCAATCGGAGATGATTTACTCAATGGATTTGTGATCCTTTTATCGTGAATCTTTTAACAATTTTAGTAGCAATGCTCTGCGAATCACGTTGATGAGATTTTCGCCGATGATCTAATGATTCTTGTTGCTTAATCCTTCATTGGCGATCTACAGAAAAGTCATGATAATTAGATAAAAATATATGACTTTTGACTCTAAAAGGGCTTGAACCCACATCGGTCGCCCACCTCTTCTGAGGAAGGTGTGACGCGGGTTTAGTCTCACATCGATTGTGTGCCGATTTTTCGGGTGAATATATAATAATGTTAGCTTTCTAAGTAAAGTCTCTTCTCTCGCGTGTACGACCACTCCTTGCCCCATAGCCGGCTGGCCACCAGTGACGTGGAAGGGGAGTGGCACACATGTGCCCCCATCGGTACAAGTCGCTCGAGCCCCTGCTCACGGTTACTCCTTGACTATGCTTCCGACTCGCTTGCAGGCCCGGCTGGCCAACAGGTCCCCCCATTTTGTAATATTTATATTTTTATTTCTTGTCTTCATTTATCTCAAAAATAAGTTTATAAAAATCATATAAAATTACATAATTACCCAAAAATTTACGTTAATCAATTGAAAACCATTTTTTATACTTTAACACAAATATAAGTCTATTTATCATGAGTTAAGGCTAAAACTATATTATTTACTAATTATTAACTCATGATAATGAAGACTTATCAATAGGCCCACATATTTAAAAGTCGATGGTTTTAACTACCCTCGTTTCTTGTACACATTCCTATATGACCCTTGAACGGGTCAATAGGGATGGGCTGTCATCACCAACCTCTCCCTACACGTCCCCCAAATAAGTTATATATGAGGAGACTCCTCACACGTCTCCCAAATGGGTTATAGACGAGATGGGCTGACACCACCTACACTTATCGGTTCTGTTCTCAATGTTGTGTGCAATGAGGTGGAGAATTGTGACTGTCTCCAAGGTAAGTTGTATTTTCTTGTCTGCCTTTGTCCTAATGTCGCATTCATTCTCTCAAATCTCTATTACAATGTTGTATGCATGCAGCACCTCGAGCCTTGCTTTAGGTTGTAGGGCCTCATAGATCCACAAATACGTCGTAAGTTGTGGAGTGGAGGATGATGAATCTAATGGCCACCACCATAGTGGTGATGATCAAGAAGTTGAGCTTGATGATGTTCATATAGTGACATGCTTATTGACAAGAAGAAAAGAAAACTCTAGAATAAATGATTAAAGAAGAGGAGTACATGAAGTTATATAGAAGAAGCAAAGAATGAGAGAGAAAATGAGAAATATAGATCGTGAAAGAAGAATAGAGATATAGAGAGAATAAGTTCAAATTGAGCCTAGTGGACCCAATGGGCTTATTCTAACACTCTTCCTCAAGCAAGAGTAAAGAAGTCAAACATGTATAACTTGATACACGTCGCGTTGTAGGAGATCCTCACAAGATTCTCAGTGAAGACATGCGAGTTGATGAACTGAGATAACATGTAGAATAGAGATAACACTTAACATTATCTTATTATGGATGTAATGATAGTCAATGTTGATGTGCTTTGTCCACTTATGAAATCTAGGGTTTTCAACAATAAAGATGACAACTTGATTATCACAATACATAAGCATTGACGTAAGAGATGAAATGTTAAGTTTTTCGAGGGGTGTACTTAGCCACATCATCTATTGCGTCGTCTTGGGCATGGTGATATTTGAACTCAACACTAGAG